GCTGTCTCATAAGCATGTTAGGCTGTATCCCTCGGGCACACTGTGTGGAAATAGTGGCTGGTCGGGATCCATGGCTTGTCACTGATATCAATAACTTCTCGTGGCAGTCCCAACTGTCAACAGTTACAGGTGATGTACATGAAAGGAGAAAATATTTTTTCCCTGCTATTAAAGAATGTGGATTCATCAGTCTCTGTCTTCCTGGACCCCATGAACCTAATTTGATTTAATTATGTTGGTCATTAATACAGACCAGAGACTGCTCCTATCAGTGGAAGTTAAAAGTCTCAAACTTTTGCCTAATGACAATACTAAATATTAATTAGTCCCTGTATACATATTTGTAAGTTAAGATATGCACCTCTAAAGACAGACCAAGGCATTGAATATTACAGATGGCTTTAGATGTTTTGAAAAAAGATGTCCTGGACTTTCCTACTTTGGTCTCAGAAATATTCTGGATAAAGCCCATTCCCACTGTTAGCATTAGTTATGGAAAAATATATGTGAGTCTCATCTTTCTAACTGGATCAGTTTTGTAGTTTATATTTATTCACATATTAGCTGTACTGATTAATAAAACCTAATTCTAATTAGGAACTATGCATAGTAATTGGTATGAAACTAAACATATTATAATCATATTATTTTCTATTATTAAATCTTAAATTATTTATTAGAATTCAACCTATCAAAATAACTTAATCTGTAGGCAAAGACAAGTGTTATTCCAATGTACAAAGAACTTAAAAAAAAACACTCTGAGTAGAACTTCAGTGATGCATGGGCATGTAGTGGTTCCTTTAGTTGACGTTGTATCTGTGTGAAAGTATTCCCAGTCGACATGTTGAACAGTAGATCCTCAGACTTCTTATTTACATCTCAAAATCCAGCAGACAAAAACTATTTTTCTTAGTACATCAATCTCATTGGAGGTTATGAAAAGATATGTTATATTTGATTTTTATGTGTGTTGTGTGCATAAATATGTTGCTAATTCTGCCAATGATGATGACAGAATTATTGTAGTTTCACTCTTGAAAGCTTGCCAGTTATAGTTACAGTTGACATAAGAATGCCAACAGTGGGGCCTGCATTGTGGTGCAGCAGGTAAAGCTGCTGCCTGCAACACAGGCATCCCATTGGGCTCCCATTCAAGTCCTGGCTTCCTGCTGGTAGCCTGGGAAAAGCAGTGAAGGATAGCCCAGGTGTTTGGGGCCTTGCTACCCCTGTGGGAGACTTGGAGGAGGAGCCTCTTGGATCCCTAACAGCATGGAGATTTGAAAGGAATAAAAGTACTATGGACAAAAAGTCATGGAAAATTTGCATGGGCAAACCTCTAACTCTACTGAAGGGATACAATAGAATAAATATTTGAGGTTTATAAAATTGACTCCCAAAAGTAGCTGCAATCAGTGCCTAAGGAGTTCAGTACTGTAATATTTATGAAGTACATTAATTTCGTCAAGATAAGAAGAGTCAGACAGCAAAGGGCTACCATGAGTGTTCATTTCCCCCTTGCTAAGTCATTAAGAAGGTTGCTAATTCTTTCACCCTTTTAAAAATGGAAACCAGACGCTGCAGCTTCTTCTGGTAGCCTCTCCCTTTCTCCAAAAGGTTCACGCTTATGACATTTGACCTCTGTCTTCAGCAATCCCAGATCTCTCTAATTAGGCACAGGAACTCCTTCTGAGTTTTTTATGTGGATGGCAAGGACCCAAGTACCTGGGCCATCACGCATCCCAGAATGCACATTAGTAGAAATTTGGATTGGAAGTGGAGTACCTGGGACTCAAAGCAGGCACTCCAATATGAAATGTGAACATCTGAACCAGAGACCTAAACCACTGCACCCAAGGTCCACCCATTTATTTTTCTCAGAGACAGAGAAACACACACAGGCAGTGAACTCTTCTACCCATCGGTTAACTCCACAGATGTCTGCAATGGACCCTGGATAGGGCAGAAATCAGGAACTGGGGCTTGATCCAGGTCTCCCACATGGGCAGCAGGAACCCAGTTACTATAGTCATCACTGCTGCCTCCCAAGATCCTCAGTAGCAGGAAAATTGAGAAAAGAGTCAGAACGGGATATCAAACCCAAGCACTCCAATAAGAAATTTTAAATGTTAACAGCGTTATATGGTGGACTCTGATATAGCAGTTAAAAGAATGGGCTTAGGAGTCAGATCAGAATTCATTAACTTTTCTGCCACTGACTAGTTCTATGGTTGTGAAAAAAGAAGTCACTTCATCTCTGAACACCAATTTCCTCATTGGTAAAATAGGAGCCCCATTTTCTTTTCTTGGTGACGTTTGGATGCATGCATGGCTTAGCATACGTCTTCATATGTAGTGAGCACTGAATACATTGTTTTAAGTATAAAGAAGCATTCAGGTGAGGCGTTCGCAACGTGCTTGGTAAGCAGTGTCCCTTAGTTTTAGTAGTAGATAAAGGGGCAGAATTCTCTTCCTCTGAATTGAAAAAGGGTAAACCTTAGTGGAATGGAAGGAAGCACACTATCCAGATAAAGACTGAAGAAAGCAGCACCAGGAATATCTTTGTTGTCAGCTCCTGAAAGTAGAGCTTGAGACAAGGATTTGGCTATTCAGTGGTTATCCCTAGACGCAGGTGGGAAAGAAAGCCAAATAATGTCCCGAAGTGTGTGTAATGCCCTTGCTGTTGAAAATAGGACCCCTGAGAAGTGCGTCTCTGGAGTGCCTCTTAGAACTGCCAGTCCAAAAGACAAGTGTTTGGAATCCTTATCTGCAGCTCTCCTATTGCTTGAGGGTTGTCCTTGAGGTGTTAGTCCCTCCCACCCTCTCCCAAATTTCTGTGGCTGAGGAAGCATTGAGCAAACATCTACAGCACTGGAAAAGGTTCTGAGGCCAAAACTGAGCAAACTGACAAAGTATTCCAGAGGTGGAACAGGCCCACTCCAGCTTGAGCTTCCTAGAAACTGTCCCCCAGAGCTAGAGCTGTAATCTGGAAGGGACTCAAGGCAGGGACATAGGCTCTCAACTTACCTGCTACAAATAATCGGACTGAGAGTGAGGAGCACCTAGACTGTGAGAAATGATGCCAGCAAAAATGAACACTATCAGGGCTGGCACTGTGGCATAGCGGGTAAAGCCGCCGCCTGCGGTGTCAGCATCCCATACGGGTGCTGGTTTGAGTCCCGGCTGCTCTACTTCCAGTCCAGCTCTCTGCTGTGGCCTGGGAAAGCAGAAGATAGTCCAAGTTCTTGGGCTCCTGCACCCACGTGGGAGACCTGGAAGATATGCTAGTTCCTGGCTTCAGATGTGCGCAGCTCCAGCTGTTGTGGCCAATTGGGGAGTGAACCAGCAGATGGAAGACCTCTCTCTGTCTCTCTCTCTCTCTCTCTCTCTCTCTGCCTCTCCTTCTCTCTCTGTGTAACTCTTTCAAATAAATAAACAACTCTTTAAAAAATGAATACTGACCCAAAAATAAATCAGTTATTTAATTTAATGTAAATGTTGGCTTAACTTCTTTCATGAGCACTAGCTAATCATGACCAAAGTTAAGTGAAACAAAATAAAAGTGGAAGGATATAGAATCATTCCCTTCCCAGAAGATCTTAACCAGAGTCTGAATTACAAAAGTTTCAATCCTGGCTACCTACATAGTCATAATCCTGGCCACAAAAGGAAAGATGTTGTTCACAAAAATAAAATATCCTTATTGCCTCATTCAAGCCTCTGTGCCTGTAACACCCAACACTCCAATCAGAGCCTGATCAATGCAAGGATCCACACTCCTTAGCTACCTTCTCCGAATTCCTCATGATATTAGTTGGAGTGACATCATTATATATTAGAAACAACAATCCCCAACATGCTCTGGTTGCAGGATGAAGAATTTAGACTAAGCATTAAGGAGTTAAAAAGACTTTTTGGGGCCAGCGCTGTGGCATAGCGGGTAAAGCCCTAGCCTGCAGTGCCAGCATCCCATATGGGTGCAGTTTCGAGTCCCAGCGGCTCCACTTCTGATGCAGCTCTCTGCTATGGCCTGGGAAAACAGTAAATGATGGTCCAAATCCTTGGGCCCCTGCACCTGCATGGAGACATGGAAGAAGCTCTTGGCTTCTGGCTTTGGTTCAGTACAACTCCGGCTGTTGTGGCCACCTGGGGAGTGAACCAGTGAACTCTCTCTCTCTTTCTCTGCCTTTGTCTCTCTGTATCTCTGCCTTTGTCTCTCTGTAACTCTGCCTTTCAAACAAAAATAAAATAAATCTTAAAAAAAAAAAAGATTTTTGATTTCTATCTGGAAGAGACAAGCTGGTTGGACTAACCAATATGACACTGAAAGGTAAAAATCACTTCTAAATGACAACTGATAAATAATAAAATTATACATGCAATGCATGATTCTGGTTTGTATCCAATCAGAGTACCAATATAGGGCTGACAAATAAAATGCAAATATTGCATGGGACATATCTACACAAAACATTATTGGAAATCAAATTTAATTGAGAATTCTTTATTTTTATTTATAAATCTGGCAACCCAATTCCACCTCCAGACCAGAACTAAAAGAAGACAGTAAGTGTTCTGGAATGCTGTGTGAAGGATTCTAGGACTTTTAGTATCAGCAATATTTCAAGAAATTGGCATGTGAAATAACTGTGTACATTCACATGTTGTTTCTTTAGGCATGTTTCTACAAACTTTTCAAAGCATTCCAACAATTTATTTTGTCATAGACAGCAATTTGCATAGTGAAAAAAAATACCGTGGTGGTAAGAGAAAACATTTATTTCCAGTAAATCCAAATGAGTTTTCAAAAGATTCCCACTTACTTAAGAATCCGATAAGAACTGTAAAGTGTTTTTGTATTATTCACCTAAACTTTGTCTTATAAATAAAATCTCAATCTGCTTGTAAGTCCTAGAAGTTCTGCAGAATTCTTTGCACGCAAACATCCCCAAATCACTAGCACAGCCACTTCATTTGCAAGGCTCTTGTTCCCAGCTCACCTTCCCAACAACTTCAGTCAAGCAGAAATGTTCTGACAACCTCCCCAAAGAACAGCGAGTAATCCTCTTCATTCATTCACTCATTACCTCTATAAAAAGAGAATGTGCAGTTACCAGAATTTTATACAATTAGTGCTCTAAGAGTGTTTTAAATGCAAACCTATAAGAGGGAAGTAAAAACAAATCAAAGTTAATTGTGACTGGCTGGAACAAAATGCCTAAATCAATACAAGGATGGCTCATCTGCTCATCATTTACCCATTACCTGGGAGACGCACACCTCCTGCTGTGCTTGATTTTTGATACAGATTTACCACGGCCTGCATCCTAGAGGCACATGCTAAGGAAACCCAGGCTTTCTTTGACTCCCTCTCTCATTATCTTCTTTGCACTTAATAACCTACTTATTACTTCTTATTTTATTCCTTCTTGTGGGCTCCTCTTTGCAAGGCAGGCGTATACACAAGGAAAACTAAAGAGTTTTAAAACTTCATAAAAAAAGCTAAGTGCCTTCCCTCAAAGCAGTCAGAGAAAACACCAGTATGTCTATGAATTGCTATTTTGCCTCAACTAATTTCAACCCTGATGATTGTAATTTTCAGAGATCCCGCAAAGTGGAAAGCAATTTTATAAGACATCTCCTAGCGCTGGGCTGGGGGGGGGGGGGGGGGCTGGAGAGAGGAGGATCAAGGGTGAAGATATGGGAGGAAGTGAGCTAAAAGCACTTTTATTTGTGTGTATAAGAGTCCGTTAATGAACAGGTGGCCTTAAAACTGAGATACATAGTGTCAGTGTGAAGAATCCGTGGAAACAACCTTGGGCAGATCCTCCCTCAGATACCGAGCCTCTGGCGTTTGAAGGCCATGAATGCTCTTAGCTGTCATTGATAAAATAAGCTCATCTCTAAACCAGCACTCCCTTTCTCTGCAAACCCTCTTCACCATAACCAAATGCAAAATGTACCTGCAACTGAAGGTTAACAAGCATCCTTGAATTCAACACACACACACAAACCAGAGTTAGATACGTTAACAATTTTGTTTTCAGACAAGTGCACAAGTGAAAATCTTGCAACTATATCTTAGTAATAGTAATAGTAGTGATAGTAGCAGGGATTTTGAAGAAAAACTTTTTGAAATGATTCTAATTTTTCTTTGTTATTTGACAAGTCAATGGATAATGTGTAACACTATGTCCACACATTTCCTGGCAATTCTCTTCTTTAGGCTGTGTTTTAAACTTGTATTCTGCGGCATAGCAAAACACAGACTGATGCTTCATTAGTCTTTTAGCCAAGTATTTCCAAATAGACTAAACACATGAAGCTTAGAAATACAGTTCTCATTTTAAAAATTGGAGTATAAATAAAAATGGAAAAAGGTTGGACCACATTGATAGGGTAGAGAGGAAAATAGCAGAGTGCAAAGGATGACAAAAGGAAGATTATGGTGGTGTAGAAAAGGAAAAGGAATCAGAAAAATTTTATATGAGTGACAGCTTTGGCCTTTCAATTGGCTTCGGTTCCACTTAGCACTCTTCATTGCATCCTCGTATTTTTTTCTCTTGAGGGAAGACATTCATGATCAATAACAGTGCTGTAATGATAGTAAATGTAGGATTTAAGATTTAAAAAAAAAAATAACACCTTTAACCAACACTAGAAAGCCAAGGGTTAGGGAGAAGGATAGTTACCTAGCTCAAGGTTTTGTTTAGTGGCGGTTCCACTTTTTCACTCACTGCCTGCAAATCAGCATTTTTAGTGGACAAAGGGCTCCGCAGCGGCCTTATGATTGCTTCTTTTCAAATGGTAATGGCTATCCTAACTCCTCTGCCAGGTTTTTCTTACCAGAGCACAAATTGCAGTTTACAAGGCTCTGAGGGAAAAAAAAAATCTTAGCTGAATATCTTTTTTTTTATTCGACAAACTGACATGTAAATTACCCTTTAAGTGCTCCACTCTAGGGCTCTGATCATCTCCTAATTGTCACAGTCAATTGTAGCCAACAGTCTCTTCAATCCCAAGCGCTTTGACAACAAGCACAAGGATCAAAGCAGAATCAGCTCCCTGCAATATCCTTCTGTTTAGGATGCTACAAAACGCCTGCAAAGAAAGGTGTAAGGGCATTGCTGTAGAGGAAACCGAGAGTAGCAAGTATTACAATAGTCATTTTCTCCATCTCTGACATTATGCTGTATAAGCTGCCGTGATCTTTAATCACATGTGCAGAGCAAATATATAAACCTCCTGGGCAATTAATATGCTCTTAAGATTATACTAATAGCCAAGCTCTACAAACAACACCATCTCCATGGCTTAGGAAAACTCCAACACAGTTAAGGGATAGCTATCATTTCATAGCAGCTGGAGTATCAAAAACCATTGGCAGGTATACTCCATAGGCGAGCATCAATTCCAAAGTGTGGTTTTTATGACTTAGTTTGGTGTCAAGATTCACGACTCCTCCCAACTAAATTCCCATTGAAAATTCTAGAGTTTCTTTTTAATGTCCAACTGAAAAGATATCACCAAATAAATGCAAAATGTGACATAAAAATTAATTTAAAAAACAGTGTTTTCCTTATTAAGAGTAACTGTCTTATTGCTTCTGGAAACAAATGAAATAAAGCTAAAAGATGATTCCTAAATGTGATGGACCTATCAGCATTGTTACTTAACAAAATATATCAACACCTTCTAACTAAGGTGGTTACCATATGTCCCTAAATTCTTTAAAAATATTTGTACTTTTTTAAAAAGATATAAATTACAGCATACCAATTATAACAGTATAACTAATAATTTGGTGGAGAGAGAAAATCTAATAGCAAATCTGTAGTAACAAGCTACTTTAAAAATAAGCTGAAAGTTGTCAGAAAAAATAACAAATGAAAGAAATGAACAGTGCATCAGACTCTCTGCCTGTGTGCCCAGGTATTACGCACATACAGCATGGAAGGTCAGACCTGGAGTGACAGCCTTCCTATGCTGAAGACAAGAACTGGAAAAGGAGGCAGCACTTGGCAGATATCGGGGGCTCCTTTCTCAGCCAGTTCTCTCAAATGCCCCTGCAGGGGTTTCCCATCCTCCCCTCACTCTCACCTTAAATGCTCAGGTTTGATTGAAGAGCTTCGCAGAAGGGTCTATTACAGATTGAGGAATGATCCATTTCACATCTGAAGCTCCAAAGAGCTACTTGTGAGGAATCTTTGAGTGCATTTATCTCACATGTGAAGCTTTCTGCAAAATCAATATGGGTATTTTTCAGTTTGACAAGTCAACATGAAATATCACATAATAATAGAAAAACAGAGTTGTACATTTAAACACACCCAATACAGTTATCTATGACAAAGCTTACAGTTATTACTCATGGATACCCTCGCGTATGCCTAATCTAAATTTGTCCTGATAGCTGGGCCAAAAAGCACTGAAAATATAACTTACTGGTCACCGTATACATAGCTACTCTATCCCAATTAATCTGGATTTGGAGTGGGGGCAGAGAAATGGGCAGGAGTCATGTTCTTTGCTTGTCATCTGAGAATGATACGACAACAGGGAAGAAAATAACCAGAGGTGAAAAAGAGGAAGGAACCATAACAGGACAGAATTATGTAAAAATAAAGAAAAACACTTGACTGGCAAAACTGGATAAAATGGTTACCCAACAAACTGTATCCATGTCCTAAGACCCATCAGCACCATAACAAATGCCAGAGAACAACTGATGTACTTGTGTTCAGGTCTGACAATCTTTGGGTGAATTCCAGGTCTATTTTACCATCTGTGTAAGTTTGGGGAACATGATTTAACTTCTCCAAATCTCTGTTTTGGTTTCTTTTCTTTTTTTAAGTTTTTTTTTTTTTTTCATTTTGTAGTGGGATTAATCTCAAGATTTACCTTATAAAGTTTTGTGAGAGTTAAACAAGATGATGCATCAAGCACCTGGTGCATAGAAAACAATTGTTAGTCATTACTGATGACATCTGCATAGTTTCCTTGAACCCATACACGAGAACACCTGGGTTCTAACCTGGCACCATTTCTACTGTTTCCTGGGCCCTTTCCACGTTGTTTGATGTCCCCAACTTGTAAATGACAGAGCACACTCAGCAACTAAGCTCTGGTCCTGGTAGACAGAGAAAGCTCTTAAAAGCAGTGTTCCTGGCTCACTAGGCTAATCCTCGACCTTGTGGCACCGGCACACGGGGTTCTAGTCCCAGTCGGGGCGCCGGATTCTGTCCCGGTTGCCCCTCTTCCAGGCCAGCTCTCTGCTGTGGCCCGGGAGTGCAGTGGAGGATGGCCCAAGTCCTTGGGCCCTGCACCCGCATGGGAGACCAGGAGAAGCACCTGGCTCCTGGCTTTGGATCAGCGCGGTGCGCCAGCCGCAGCACGCCGGCCGTGGCGGCCATTGGAGGGTGAACCAACGGCACAGGAAGACCTTTCTCTCTGTCTCTCTCTCACTGTCCACTCTGCCTGTCAAAAAATTTAAAAAAAAAAAAAAAATAGTGTTCCTCCAGCCAGGAAGGCTGCTCTCATCCAGAAAGAGGAAGAAAGTGGATCAGGACTGTGAGAAAGACTAACAGGCCAAATCAGCTGATCAGTTCAAGCAATGAATGAGGTGAATAGCGCAAAGAACTATCACAAAAGGCTTTCCTTCCTATGTCAATGTTATGATGAGTTATAATTGATGTTATCTCTGCTTTCCCCACCATAGGAAGGACTTCAAGAGAAAAGAACTCTCAGAAGCACCCTAGATTTAGATAGAAATTTCACTAAATTCTCCATTCCTCTCCATCACATGCTTTGTAGTTCATCACAAACTAAGCAGTATTAAATTCATCTATACTTGATTATCTGTGCTTGGAGCAACTTAAAAAATTATTTTTAATTTTAGGCTAATTCTCACCACCACTCAGAAAAAAAAAACATATTTGTAGATTACTTGAAATTTATTTTTAATTTTAGGCTAATTCTGCCACTCAGAAAAAAAAAGAGTGGATGAAACATGTGAGTTCAGAGACATGAAAATATATCTTGATAACAGAATAAGAAAAATAATATTACAAAATACTCACACAATTGTAATTTTAAAACTCTTACTCTATATTCCAAAATCCAACAACCAAATATAAGTGGATCTTGTGTTCAACAATATGTATCAAAATCCAGCAATATGTATCAAAACTCAACATATATAACATTGTTAATGTTTTAGCTACATTACTGTTCTGTTCTATTATTCAAATTAAGCTATAACTTTCTTTCCAAAGGCAAATTTTTAAAATTTACTGTATACCAATATAGAATTATAAGTACAAATGGAAACAATTTCCTACTTTAAAAGGGTCATTTCCTTAAAATTTTTTAATTTATTTGATTTGGACTCAAAATACATTTTTACCAAGGAAATAAGTTTATAAATCATCATTAAATTTATGAGATTGACACATAAAACCTGTTTAATGTAAAATGTACCTGAAACACACTAATACCAGTCTATGAACAACTTTAAGTCAAGAGGGCCATAAATTTAGTCCTGTGAAGATTAAAGGGATTGTCATCAAGGATTGAGTTTCCAAGCATTAGGACATACCAGGCAAGACATCTGATAGATCATCACCACCATGTCAACATCATCATCATTATCATACCACACTTCACTCAACATATTAGTACATGGTGACTACCAAGATGACAATAGTAGATGGCCAATAAAATTACACTGCATCATTATAACTTCTTAAGTGCAGGAGTGGCACTGCCAGGACCTTACCCCCTCTTTGGCACTTCATGATGTTTATTTTCCAAGGGGTGTCATGAGCATTTTCTTAATGTTTTCGTTAAGCAAATGAAGACTCTCAGATACTACTACCCATATGTCAACATGCCCCACCTCTGAATTTCGCCTTGTGCTGTGGTGATACCAAACCCCTAAAGCACAGCTTGGAAAGGTCTAAGAAAGAAACTAGTGTAGTACCTAGTTAGCATAGTCATTGGCTTTCTGGTAGCATCTCAATAAAATCACTGTACTAAAGCGACTGTGCCCTTTTTAAAAGTCGCATTGCAAAATTCTTTTACAACTTGTGTCAATTCCTCATGTATTTCAAAGATTACCAACTATCATCATCAGAGTTTGTGCCTTACCCCATTTTGGTTTTAATTTTAACTGTAAACCTTACTATACAAGGCCAGCATTGTGGCACAGTGGGTTAAGTCACCTACAAATCTGGCATCCTAAATAGCACCAATTCAATGCCCAGCTATTCCACTTCTGATCCAGCTACCTGCTAAGTTGCCTGGGAAGACAACAGAGGATGATCCAAGTGCATGGGTCCTCATCACATAAGTGGGAGTCCAAAATGGAGTTCTCGGCTCCTGGCTTCAACCTGGCCCAGCCCAGGCCACTGCAAGCATTTAGAGAGTGAAACACCAGATGGAAGACCTCCATCTTTCTTCGTCTCTCCCACTCTCTCTGTAATTCTGCCTTTCAAATAAATAAAAATAAATCTTTAAAAAATAAAATAAGCAAAATAGGAAAAAAAAACCTTAATATTCAAAGCTATGAATGATAGCTTCCTGTCAAGTCCTTCATGCATGCCATCAAATAGATCCTACGTGCCATCAAATAGGTCCAATTAATAAAAATACTGACTGCACTCACTCATTCCTACCGCATGTCTATACTTTCCAGTAAATACACATTACCCCTACAGTTGCAATCCACCTAATGCCCTTTGTTCTAATCAAATTGTAGTAACAAAACATGCACTGGCCCCTTTAACAGAATTAAGCAGGGACTTGGGAGCAGGACGTGGAGAGAAGGGACTAGTTGTTTAATGGGTATAGAGTTTCAGTGCTGCAAGATGAAAACTGGAAATATATTTAACACTGCTGAAATGTATACTCAAAAATAATCAAGATGATAAATTTTATAATCTATCACAATTGATTTTTCAAATAAATAATGTAGTCAAACTGCTTCTTAAAAACTGGTGCTCTTGGGCCAGTGTTGTGGTGTAGTGAATTATGTTACCACCTGTGATATTGGTATCCCATATGGGTACCAGGTTGAGTCCTGGCTGCTCCACTTCCAATGCAACTCCCTGCTAATGTGCCTGGGAAGGTAATAGAGGATGGTACAGGTTCTTGGGACCCTACACTCAAGTAGGAGACCTGGAGGAAGTTCCTGGCTCCTGGCTTAAGCCTGGCCCAGCCCTATCCATTGCCATCATTTGGGGAGTGGTGAACCAGTGAATGGAAGAGCTCTCTCTGTGTCTCTTGCTCTCCCTCTTGCTATAGATCAGAATTTCAAATAAATAAATAAATCTAAAAATAAAATAAATAGGGGCTGGCACTGTGCATAGAGTTAAGCAGCCATCTACCACAGTGTTGGCATTCCACATTAGGAAAAAAAAAAAAAAAACTAGTGCACTAACTCAATAATAAATGATGAATTATGGAACATCCAAAAAAAAACTAAATTAAGGATATCTTAATATTTAAGTTTTAGGCAGCCATGATCTTAGTTTTCAGCCCTGATTTCTTTTCTATGAAAATACTGCCTAGGAAATTATCCACAATGTTTTCAATTCCAAATAGATTGACTTGTGACTTGACATAGGAGAAATTGTGCATGAAAATACAGGTCAAAAATAAACAAATTAATGAAACTCAGGATATAGAATTTCACTTCTCTTCTGAAAGAGTCAAACAGTGAAACAAGAAAACCACCCTTCCCAGGTGCTCTGTTCTGAGGCCATCACTGCCACACACTGTTACCATCTAAAATCTCAAAATTTCACTACTTGGTGGACCAAGCAAAAGTTGAAGCTCATTGGGACAAAAATACTCCAGACCAAACCAGACTGGTTTTCAGTGGTTTCTCCATTTTTGTAACAGTTCTATAGAACATTACCACCCACGTTCTTTAGAGTTGATGACTTCTGGTTGTGAACATTTTACTCTGGTTAACTTTTTTTTTACTTTTTTACTTAAAAGTATGTTACAGAATAAAGATTTTTTTCAGGATTTAGAATTATAATGCTTTCTTTGAACAAGCTGAGCAAACTAACATTTGTCTCCTGCAGTGAAGGAGGAAAAATGGGATCATAGAGTACAGTGGGCAGTTTACAAAATTAACGTTTTATAATCCTGCCTCACAATCTGGGATGGAATTGATCAACAGCCAAAGCATGTGGTTTCCTTTCAAATGGAAGATATCAAGGATAGAATAATAGAATAAAAACTGAGAATAAAGTACACTGATTCAAAAAATTGTAAGGATATTTTCTTTGTATATACATTTCCACTTCAACCATTCTATGACCTAATCAGTTGTGTTTAATTTTTTCTTTACAAAAATGTAATGCCACATATACGGGGTGTTCAAAAAGTTTGTGGAAAAGGTATATTATGAAAAAAACTTCAAGTAGAGCTCAAAAATTTTTTGCATCAAAATAAACATATCGTTTAATTCTATTTGCTACAAAATGTTTAAATTACCCTCACGTTAACTTTCTAGCATCTATCTTACAAGGTCTGCGTTGTTTGGTAGATTAGAAGTAGCAAAACCTTGAAGGCCACGGTAAATCTAAGGTTTGTGGTGATACCAATAGTTTTAATAATAATAGGTACCTATGACTTACACATCTCAGGCACTTTGAGCATACTCTTTTCTAAAACAACAACAACAAAGATTTATTTATTTGAAAGGCAGAGTTAGAGAGAGAGAGAGAGGAGTGCAAAATCTACCATCCAGTGGTTCAGCCCCCCAAAATGGCCACAATGGCTAGGGCTGGGCCAGGCCGAAGCCAGGAGCCAGGAACTTCTCCCACGTGGGTACAGGGGCCCAAAGACTTGGACCATATTCTGCTGCTTTCCCACACGCATTAGCAGGGGGCTGGATTAGAAGTACAGCAGCCGGGACTCGAACCAGCAACCATATAGGATGCTTAGCACAGTGACTTTACCAGCTGCACCAGAGCACAGGTCCCTTATGGCATTTTATATGAGTTTGATGCCAACATTTGTATGAGTTATGATGAAACAGGCTTACAGAGATTAACTAATTTGGCCAAAACCACATCCTAAAAAAATACTGTAGTCTTAACTACAAATCTCTCCTTTGCCATTAATGTAGCTTCATTTCAGTATGAACTATTCTATATCATCTGTTACAAATCTTTCGCCTATCTTCTCTATCAGTGAGTTCCCTCTTGCTTTTCGTACATTTTATTGCCCAACAATTCCTGAGTAGAAACCATATCTTGGACACTGAGGCTTGTTTTGATTGACTCCATGATTTAGCTAAATGTGGGCATCAGCTAACTGGTCCTTGACCATCAATAGCAGCTCCTTTGTTCCACTGCCACCTCCCAGGCATTGATGCCTGACTCACTCATATGTGTTCATCAAGCAAAGGGGTTACAGACCATTTACTACATAAAGCAGCATCCATAATGGCATATATTTTGAAATCCACTTGAATTCAGCACTATAATCACTAGCAATTCAGGGTATTCCACAAGACACTAATACCCATTGCAAAAACCATAATCAACACCAGTGAAGAGCTATATAAAGACTGGCACAATGGCCTGTTCATTTCTCTGCCTCAGATCTAAATTCCTGTCCTCATATTGCTCTATGCCCAGGTGGGTATATTCATGACTTCCCTAACGAGTCCACAGTAAGGGCAAACTCTTGACAGGTCACTCAGGGCCAGCCTTGGAATGTAAGACTAACAGAGCCAGAACCTGGACTCACTGGAACCATGCTATGCCATTACAGAAGAGCAAAAGGTGATCCAAAGAGGCCAAGTGGTTTGCCCAAATCATAAGCTAACAAGCAAAAAAGTAGTGACTTCAAAACCCCAACTCCAGGGGTTTTGGACAGCACTGTGGTGCAGCGGGTTAAAGCCCTGGCCTGAAGCACTGGCATCCCATATGGGCGCCGGTTCTAGTCCTGGCTGCTCCTCTTCCGATCCAGCTCTCTGCTGTGGCCTGGGATAGCAGTAGAAGATGGCTCAAGTCCTTGGGTCCCTGCACCCACGTGGGAGACCTGGAAGAAGCTCCTGGCTCCTGGCTTCGGATAGGTGCAGCTCTGGCCTTTGTGGCCAAATGGGGAGTGAACCATCAGATGGAAGACCTCTCTCTCTCTCTCTCTTCTCTGCCTCTTCTCTCTCTGTGTATAATTCTGACTTTCAAATAAATAAATAACTAAATCCTTAAAAAAAAAAAAAAACCTAGTCCAGTGCATGCTCTACTGGGAGACCAGGAAAAGCACCTGGCTCATGGCTCCTGCCATCGGATCAGCGCGGTGCGCCAGCCGTAGCACGCCGGCCGTGGCGGCCATTGGAGGGTGAACCAACGGCAAAGGAAGACCTTTCTCTCTGTCTCTCTCTCACTGTCCACTCTGCCTGTCAAAAAAAAAAAAAAGACTCTTATACAAAAGGCTAGATCACTTACTATACACTGTATCTACCGCATTTTGTGTCATCCTTACAACCTCCACACAAAATAAGTATTACTACTGTGCTTACAAATGAAATAGACGAAATAATTTAACAAAATTCCTAAGACTGGAAAAAAACAACTGCAGAAGTTCTCTACTGACATCTTACTTTGAATGTAATGGCCAAATTCCTACCAAAAAATAATAATCCATAAGGAATTGTAACATTACACAATGGGAGACTGATACTGAGATTAGAGGAGGGAAAGTTTTGAATCTAAAACCTGGGAAGCAGTGCATAAATACTCTGCTTTTATTGTTACTTCTTTAAATTTTGCTTTTCCCCAAAATTGGCTTATCAAAAGGAGTGGAGCATTGTGGTGCAGTGGATTAAGTTACCACCACCTGCAGCACCAGCATCCTGTATGGGTGCTGGTTGGAGTCCTGCCTGCTCCACTTCTGATCCAGCTCCCTGCTAATGAACCTGGAAAAGCAGCAAAAGATGGCTCAAGTTCTTGGATCCCTGCACCAAGCTCCTGGCTCCTGGCTTCAGCCAGATCGAGATCCGCTCTGGCCATTACAACCATTTGGGAAGTGAACAAGCAGAAGGAAGATTCATTCTCTCTCTCTCTCCCCCTCTCACCCCCCCCCCCACTGTGTGTGTGTGTGTGTGTGTGTGTGTATCTCTGCTTTTCAAATAAATAAACAAATCTTTAAAAAAAATTTTTCAGGGGCCAGTGTTGTGGCACAGCTGGTATCCCACATCATAGTGCTGGTTCAAGTCCTGGTTACTCCACCTCCAACTTAGCTTCTGGCTAATGTGCCTGAGAAGGCATCAAAAGACGGCTCACATACTTGGGTTCCTGCTACCCATGTGGGAGACAGGGATGGACTTCCTGGCTCTTAGTTTGAGACTTCCCATATCTGTCTATTGTAGCCATTTGGGGAGTGAACCAAAGGATAGAAGATCTCTCTCTCTCTCTCTTGCTCTGCCTATCAAATAAATAAATAAATCTTAATAAATCAAATAAATCAAATAAATAAAGGGGTGAGCATTTTGCACAGCTGTTAGAACCAATACCACCACCCCACCTTGAGACACTTGCATCCCATATCAGAGTGTCTGAGTTCAAGCTCTGGGTCCACTGCGGATTCCAGCTTTCTGCTAATGTGTGCCCTGGGAGGCAGCAGGTTGTGACTCAAGTACTTAGGTCCCTGAAACCCACTTAGAAGACCTGGATTGAGATCTTAGCGCAGCGTTCAGGTCAGCCCAGCCATAACTATTACAAAAATTTGGGGAGTGA